GATACAAAATTAATGCCAAGAAATCCACGGCATTTCTATACACCAACAGCGAAACTATAGAAATAGAGATTAAAAAAGCAATTCCATTTACCATCGCACCAAAAAAATTAAGGTACCTAGGAATAAATTTAACTAAGGAAGTAAAGGACCTATATGCAGAAAACTACATGACACTGAAAAAAGAGATAGAGGAAGATGTAAAGAGATGGAAGAATATACCATGTTCATGGATCGGTAGAATCAACATCATCAAAATGTCCATACTTCCTAAAGCAATCTATAGGTTCAATGCACTCCCCATTAAAATACCAACGGCATATTTCACCGACCTAGAAAGAACTCTCCAAAAGTTCATTTGGAACAATAAAAGACCCCGAATAGCCACAGCAATCCTGAGAAAGAAGGGTAAAGTAGGAGGGATCTCAATACCAGACTTCAAACTGTATTACAAAGCCACTGTTCTCAAAACAGCCTGGTACTGGCACAAGAACAGACATATAGATCAATGGAATAGAATCGAGAACCCAGATATCAACCCAAATCACTATGCTCAATTAATATTTGACAAAGGAGGCACGAATATACAATGGAGTCAAGACAGTTTCTTCAATAAATGGTGTTGGGAAAATTGGGTAGACACATGCAAAAGAATGAAACTAGATCACCAACTTACACCATACACAAAAATAAACTCAAAATGGATACAGGACTTAAACATCAGACGGGAAACCATAAAAATACTAGAAGCATCCGCAGGCAGCAAAATCTCAGACGTATGCCAAAAGAACTTCTTCACTGATACTGCCCCTAGGGCAATGGAAGCTAAAGAGAAAATAAACAAATGGGACTACATCAAAATAAAAAGTTTTTTTACAGCAAAAGAAACCATCAACAAAACAACAAGAAAGCCCACGGTATGGGAGAATATATTTGCAAATAATACCACGGATAAAGGTTTAATCTCCAACATCTACAGACAGCTGATACAACTAAATAAAAGGAAGATGAATGATCCAATTAAAAAATGGGCAATGGACCTAAATAGAATATTTACAAAAGAAGACAGAAAGAAGGCCAAAAGGCACATGAAAACATGCTCAAAGTCACTAATTATCCGAGAGATGCAAATCAAAACAACAATGCGGTACCATCTCACACCTGTCAGAATGGCCAACATCAACAAATCAACAAACGACAAGTGTTGGCGAGGTTGCGGAGAAAAAGGAACCCTCGTGCACTGCTGGTGGGAATGCAGACTGGTGCAACCACTGTGGAGAACAGTGTGGAGTTTCCTCAAAAAACTGAGAATGGAACTCCCATTTGACCCAGTAATCCCACTTCTTGGAATATATCCCAAGAAACTAGAAACACCAATCAGAAAGGATATATGCACCCCTATGTTCATAGCAGCACAATCTACAATAGCCAGAATCTGGAAACAGCCGAGGTGCCCGTCAGCTGATGATTGGATCCAAAAACTTTGGTACATCTACACAATGGAATACTATGCTGCCATAAAAAAGAAGGAATTCTCATCATTTGCAGCAACCTGGATGGAATTGGAGAACATCATGCTGAGTGAAATAAGCCAATCAATGAAAGAGAAACACCACATGACCCCACTCATTTGTGGATAATAAAGATCATTATAAACTGATGAACCAAAAGATAGATATAGAGACAGTAAAGCAACAAGCAGATTGTCAAATTACAACGGGGAGGGGAGGAGGGTCTGGGGGAGACAATAAATCAACCCAAGGACTTGTATACCTGCATATAAGTACAACCAATGGACATAAAACTCTGGGGAGGGAGGGGATACATGGGAGGGAAGGAGGGGGGCAAAAAAAAAATCAATAAAATATGTAAAATAAAAAAAAAAATTAAAAAAAAAAAACAAATATATTTTGAATAAAAAAAAAAAATAAAATAAAATAAAAAAAAAAAAAAAAAAAAAAAAAAAAAAAAAAAAATTAAAATCAGTAAGATTAAAGAAATAGGTTAGAGAGACCAGTGAGGGGCTTTCCTCACTGAAAGAACTGGACTTTAAACCAAGATTTTTAAACAAGGATCACATTTGTCTTTTAAAAGATAGTTTCCCAAAGTGTGGTACATGTACCCCCAGGGGTACGGGAAGAGTTTGGTGGGGGTACGCGTTGCACCGGAGTTTGGTGGGGATATGCACTGCACCGTGCTTAGCTGCGCCTAATTCTATGTTCTCATGAGTACGAGGGGTACTTAGCATTACGAAAATTATAGAAGGGGTACACATATGTCAAAAGTTTGGGAAACACTGATCTAGGGGATGATATAAAGTGAGGAAATATGGAAATCAGAAGGCTCTTGAAAAACCAACTCCTAAAATTAGGAAACAGTCCTAATGCTGAGCAATGCTGAGAAATGGGGTGGGGTGGGGTGGGTGAGATACACTAGAACTTGGAGATCACTCCATCAAGGAGATGAGGAAGAGGAAGAAGTTACCAATCACTCCTGGATTCTAGTGCAGACAATATGAGGGATTGTTTTTGCGTGGGGAAGCCTTCAGGTGGAGATATTCGAAGTCACAGAGCTCAGGGGACACTTATGGAATACATATAGAAATCTGAGAATCAGAAAAGCACATTAGTACTCCCTTAAGCAATGGGAGAGCTAAGAGAAAAGACCTAAGATACAACCCTTGAAGAACAACCACATCTTACAGTGCACGCAAAGTAAGAGGAACCAATGGAAGCTGGAGAGCGGTCAAAGCGGAATCAAGGACATTGTTACAAGTGAGAACAGGCACTAGGGGTCAGTACCAAGGCCCAAAATTTTTAAAGTAAGATACCGTTACATTGCTAGGTCACATTCTCAGGCAATATCTCTTCAGAGGTCAAGCCTCCTGATGAAGAAGTTTGAGTGTAAAGGACTTACAATCCAAGAAAGGGGTGGCAAGCACACACCTTTCTCAAGAACTTTCTTCTTCCTGACTCTATGGTGTGTGTTTTGGTATATGGTGTCCACTGAGGCCCGAGGACCTGCCAACATGAGAATTGATGGGTAACTTTGCTCAATGACAGCTGAGGCCTGGTCTAAGGGGTAAAAATAAGGATGTATCATTAAAATTGCACTTTAGGCCCAAGGTTAACACCAAGTCTCCTCAGGCAAGCCAGTTTTAGCCCCTCTCAACTGAGTTTCTCATCTGTAAAATATGGGCAATAGTCTATGCCCAATTTACCTCAAAAAGCTTTTGTGAACATACATACAGGACTAAAGCAGATGTGAAAGCACTAGGGGAAAAATGATGTAGCAGTCTACTCCCTGATTACCTCTATTCAGAATGGCCTATATTCAGACCATTACTTCTAAAACTCTGGTGTACATGAAAACTACATGGGACACTGTTAAAATACAGATTCTTAAACCCTACTCCAGCATAAGAATATCTGGGCATGAGTCCAAGAATCTGCGATTTTATGTTCCCGGTAACTTTCATGCAATGTTCCATGGTCCAGCCTTCTTGGGATGCTGAATCAATCCACCCTTTTAAAAGATGAGAAAACAGACTGAGGAAAAATGCTGTATCTAAGGATTGAATACGAGGTAGCAAAAAAACAGAGAGAGACAGTGTTACAATGGAAGATAATTTGAGCCATAAAGTCCTATTACTAGAGGTCATATATCTGGTTTATGGGAATATTTTTATTATATAGTAAGTCTTTATTATGATACCATTCACTGTGATTTCACCTGTTATCTACTCTCATATAAAGTCCTAAATAACTATTGTTTTTGGAGACTACAGGGAAGGCATAGGATCTATTTCAAACCAGCAAGTCAACTAACTTTGAGAACCACTAAACTATCCCATGAAAAGCTATTCTGAATCTATTATCCACATCAGTTACACCCAATCCCAGGGTAGCCCGATTTGCACGTTGAGGCCTACACTCAAAGACTTCCAACTATCCCATTATCTAGAAGATAGACATTTAACATTCTTGGCTTTGAATAACTTAAGACTTATTTATTTGAGGTCCCCGGATACTCTGAAACCTGGTTAAAGTAGCTGAAATCAGGAGTTAGAAATGTGTCACCTACAAGCCCAGAATTCAGATCCCCTGTAGCTACAACTCAGGGCCAGGTTAGCGTGTACAATGGCAGTGTCACTTCTTGAACAAGTACGGCAAACTAATGAGCTTCTCATTCCCAAATTTTATTCGGGCAAATTGCCAATCAAAATTGATCTAATTGGGAGGGTGAGTGCACCTGATACCTCCCAATTATGTTTCATTTTCGATTAAATTGGAGGGAGGGGGGAGAAATAAAAATCCAGAATTACAGTTTACATGGCAAGACAGCATGCTGTATACACTACTAAATATACCCTCTGTAATAAGTCTAAGAATTTCATCATTAAAAATACCTTCCCAAAAGATTCTTTGAAATTATATACCCAACCTAAAGCAATAGAACTACAGTTTAAAAAACAAACAAATCTCAGAACTTATCATATGGGAAAACATTATAGCTTGGAGGGACAGGAGCCAGCACACTCGCTGGTCATATTCCAAATGTACTCTCTTCTGTATAGAACTTCCTTATAGCTTTGAAGAAATCAGCAGTAATGAGATAGAATCAGACTGTAATAGATAATAATAATAGTCCTAGCTGGTTTTGCTCAGTGGTTAGAGCATCTGGGACTAAAGGGTCCCTGGTTCAACTTCCAGCTAGGGCACATAATCAGGTTGTGGGCTCCATCCCCAGAAGGGGGTGTGCAGAAGGCAGCCGATTAATGATTCTCTTATCATTGATGTTTCTCTCTCTCTCTCCTCTCCCTTCCTCTCTGAAATCAATAAAAATATATATTTTTAGAAAAAATAAAATAACAATAGCGTGGACTTTGGCTTCCTCATCCAATTGTTTCTACTTTTAAGGAAAAGAATCAGTTACATTAATAACAAAGAAAACAACCCAGTACCTCTGCTTATGATAAAAAATTAGACAACAAAAATACTTACACGGGACTGGAATTCAAAGAGCAATGATCCACCATCATTTCTGGAAGGAAATCCAACTTAAACGCAGCCATCACCTCACTCTCCCCTTCAGAAGCCAATGATATTAACTTGCTGCACTTGTCTGATCCACAAATACACACAGCTTTAGCTTCCTGGGCCCCACAAAAAACACAAAGTGGAAACAGGAGCTCAGGGAAACCAGCAGTAAGTGCCACAGATACAGGCAGGACTGGGGAAGGGGAAGGGAGCATTGGATTAAAAGGGGGATGTGACCATGTGAAGGGAGGCTCAGCCCTGCACACAATGAAAGTGCTGATGCACCAGGCTTGTTTTGTGTGATTTTCCCTGGCAAAGCAGTACTAAGTGCACTGTCAGATAAATGGAGTGTCAGATCCATGAAGATAGCAGTGGCTAACAGAGCAGAAGAAACACAAACTTGTTTCATATCTTCCCAACTCCTCTCCCTGCAAATTAGTTTCTGAGGACCCCCAAAACCTGAAACTACCTGGGAGAAAAAAAACACCTCACCTTACATGGTCTGAAAATGTTTTTGGAAACTGGGTTGTTAGCCTTGGTCGAAACTTAGTTTCCATGTGCCAAAGTCAGCAGTGAGCACAGTGCGTGGGTCCAAGTTACCTCAGAATGGGCACGTACAGAGGATCACTGATTCAGACCATCAAAAGCACTGAGGAGCAAGCTGGTTGAAGAACTGGACACCAGGAACTTACTGCTCACACACTGGACCTTGCTTTCTTGATGGTGTTGACAGCAAAGTGAGCTTCCTCATCAGAGTGAAGGACTTTAAAAATTGCTGCTTCAGCCGGGACCGGTTTGGCTCATGGATAGAGCGTCAGCTTGGGGGACTGAAGGGTCCCGGGTTCGATTCCGGACAAGAGCATGTACCTTGGTTGTGGGCATATCCCCAGTAGGGGGTGTGCAAGAGGCAGCTGATTGATGACTCTCTCTCATCGATGTTTCTAACTATCTCTCTTCCTTCCTCTCTGTACAAAATCAATAAAATATATTTTTAAAAAATAAAAATAAATAAAAAATAAAAATTGCTGCTTCAGTGATGTTCATTAGGTGGCACAAGGCAGAACTTCTTTCCTAACTCTGAATCTTAATTTGCCAGAAATTTTAAAAGGCAAAAATGAAAATGGTATTGTAATATTCTGACTCTTGATAGAGTACTAGAAAATAGTATCTTCTCAGTTGTTTGACTTTCCAAATAATGAAAAAGAAGTGGGGCCTGCTAGGAACAAGCACTCAAACATATAAGGAAAGCCTCTTGGTTCTCTGTCGTCTTTTAAACCTGCTAAGCCATGATTAATGAATGCAACATAAAAATCCTATTGGGGAGCAGTAGAGATGGATATACTTAGCAATAAGGCAGATGTGGTGCTCCCGTTCTCAATTTAGCTCCACATCCCTCCAAACAACAAACGGTGGCATTTCAATATTTAGGCAATGGCTCTAAAACTGTATCTCTGAAGGTTCCCAAATTTCACAGGCCTTCTTTCCATTTTTATCTTTAGGGTTGCCTTACCTCAAAGATTTCACTTCACTCAAGCTCAGTTAACAACACAGGGAACTTTGGAAAAAGAAGTTATATTCAGCCTATAAAGAGGTAAACGAATGCACTCCTAACTAAATGTGTATAGTTACTTTAAAAATAACACAAGGTATAGGCCTAACTGTTCTCATCTGTACAGAAATGGCTGACACCTATCCATGTGACTGAGGAACATAAAAACTGTGTCTTCTGTCTAATATCCATATATAACCATTCAAAACTTAAAAGTATAACAGCAGCTAACTACTTTTCTATTTTGTCAGAGACCCTGGCTCATTTGATCTACTGCTTTAGAGACAGAAGTAGCAGGAGCTCTCTTCCATTCCATTAAAGGAGGAAGCAAAAACAAGCTACAGTGAGAGGAGACTGGCACACAATACACAGTTCACCAAGCCCTGGCTGCCAGGCAGAGGATGGGAACCCAAGCTGGACTGGTTAAGTTACTCGTTAGGTATGTCCTAGTTTCTCCTGTGTAAACTGGCGCTGATCCCATGCCTTCTCCTATAGTAAGTTATCTGGACCAATGAGTAAATTTGTGAGATCAGTTAACCAAATCAGATTTTTTAGTATAAGGATTCCTTTAAAAAGAATCAACGAATTTTAAAAAATCCCACTGGTTATTGTTATGTTTTTATTCTTCAGTAAAAACACATGGCTTGTAATTATATCTCCGTTTCAATCAGAATCACATCTAGAGCAAGAGAGGACTTAAATGTGGGAGACTTCACTGAGTAGCCTGCCACTGCTCAGTGCATGAAAGGATGAGCACTCCTTACAGTAATGTTCACCAAGCCAAATGTTGAGAAGCACTGACTTGGAGTAATGTTTTAAAATCCACTTTACAATATATAAAGCAACACTGCTTTAAAAATCATACAAGATGGAAATGTTATTACATGAAGGAGAATGCTTCCTTTTAGGCAGGTCACAAGAGTTATCTTCGTATAATTAAATTCAACATGCTGGGGGTGGGGAAGCACAGAAACTAATCACAAATCACTCAACTTTAGAAAAGGGTTACAAAGTTAATTGATGATAAAAACAATTATGGGAATACAAAATGCAAGTGTTAAAATTAAAAAGCAGAATCAAAAGTTATTCACACAAAAAATGCTCAGGTTGTTTTTAATTTCTAAATCAGAAACACACTCCAGGCTTTTTCCATGAAGAATGCATTAGAAATAGAGTTAGCAGGAAGAATTATAACCAAGGGTCCACTGAAAAGGAAGGACTTAACTTTCTCTCAATCCCCTTTCATCGCTTGTCCTCGAATTATGAATTTATATTCATGAGTCCCTTTTCTTTCTTTGATTGTTTGTCTCAGTTTTCTTTGCTTAGAATATTCTCTATTTTCTAAGGGCGACAATTCAAATCCTTATTATATGAAGGCAGGGGCAATCGAACTGCAATAGCACTAAGAATCCAAATCATTAAAAATGATGGGTAGAGCCCTGGCCAGTGTGGCCCAATGGACCCAGAGACTTGATCCCCAGTATTCTACCTGCAGGAGGCAGCTGATTAGTGTTCCTCTCTCTCTTAAAACACCCCCCCACACACACACACAAAATAATAATAAAAAATATTTTAAAATATTTTTTAAACTAAAATGATGGGTAGATAAGGGAATCCTCAAAAGAATAGCACAACCTGCACTTAAAATATCCAGTGGAATAAGCAGTTTAAAAATGGAATTAGAAGAATTGTTAGATATCACAGCCTTTGTTTTGTTAAGAGTGAGGGAACAAAGCATAGGCAAGGGGAAAAAAAAAACAAAAACCAGGGAGTTCTATAGCAGGTGAAGGGATTTTATACTTCCATCCTGATAATCTAAATTTGTTTAAAGGGCAAAATGTGAAGTCTAGTTAGATGAGCTTACAGAAAATTAGAGCCTATTGCTAAATTATAAAAAAGAATCTATGCCATTAAAAATCACCATCAGGCCGAAACCAGTTTGGCTCAGTGGTGGAGCGTCGGTCTGCGGACTGAAAGGTCCCAGGTTCGATTCCGGTAGGGGATATGCAGGAGACAGCTGGTCGATGTTTCTCTCTCATCGACGTTTCTAACTCTCCCTCTCCCTTCCTCTCTGTAAAAAATCAATAAAATATATATTTTTTAAAAATCATCATCAGGCCCAGCCAGATTGGCTCAGTGGTTGAGCGTGGACCTATGACCCAGGAGGTCACGGTGTGATTCCTCCTGGTTGGAGCACATGCCTGGGTTGCGGGTCCATTCCCGGTGTGGGGTATGCAGGAGGTGGCCAATTAACGATTCTCTCTCATCATTGATGTTTCTAGCTTTCTCCCCCTCTCCCTTCTTCTCTGAAACCAATAAAAAATATTTTTTAAAAATCACCATCAGCGTATATACATATACATATACGTGTGTGTGTGTGTGTGTGTGTGTGTGTAAAAGTAAAAAAATCTAGGGAAGTCGTAACCTTAAACAGTTAAGTGGACTACTCGCCCCCCACAACTTCTGGCAGTTAGATGTAAGGAATGCAGAAAAGAAGCAATTGATACAACTAGAAAATAATCAACCAGAATAACTTAATTTAGCTTAAAACCTTTATGGACTTAAATTTTCACTTCAAAACTTGAGTATTTCTACTATAATCACTGGGTCTCCTACAGCTCCCAATCCAGTATCTTGCATATGCAAAAATATACTGACCTAAATTGGTAATGATGTCGTTGGCATTTTACTTTGTGGAAGCTTTTTTTTTTTTTTTTTTTTGACAAAAAAGTGTGTCAGTTAAGTATAATTTAAAACAAGCCAGAAAACTTGGAAAGTTTCAAATAAGAATATAGACAATGAATTTTTCTAAACTTGGGGGAAAGGGAGTTTTAAAGTAACAAATAAAAAATGTTGTAAATAATTTCCATTTCAAACCTAAAATCACTGTTAAACAAAAAGCACTGACTTTTGTATCCAATGATCCAATTTAATGACTATTGTATCCAAGTTGGTTTGCCTATAAAAAGTACCACATATGGTATACTGAAAGGATATGGCACAGTGAAGGGAGAAAAAGTACTACCTTTTTGAAATCTAAAAGGTTTTCCATTGCCTCCCCAAACCTTAATCACTACTGCCTCCTCCCCAAATCGGTGTCAAAGAGAAAGACCTTTTCTCTACTTAGTGCAGTCAGCAAAAATTTGCTCAGAACCTCCCTCAGATTGTACTGTCAAATTGTGACCACACTTCAAATCTAGTATAATTTTTTATTTAAGATCCAGTGATGATTAAAAAATCAGTATGTTGAACCATTTCTGGTTCCAGGAAGGTAACATTTTTTGTATAAAGTTCATTAAATTATGTTCTCATCCTTGTTCTAATTTATTAGGGGGTCTTTCAGTTATGAAGTAGAATGGAAAAGAAAGTCAGCTGGGTAGTTGATGAATGGAATATCATTACCCTCTCTCTCTCCCTTCTCCTCACCTCTCCCAAAGCTACTAGAACTAAGCAACAGGTAGTTCAATTGGAAGATAAACCTGTCTT